TGAACATGCTTTAACCCAAGTACTGGTTAACTAGAATTCATTAAAGCTGGTTCAAACTACTGCCAGTATTACCCATTTCCACCTAGCTATTTGATCATTTACTCAGCACCTCTTCCTGGGGCTGGAGGGTGGGTGGCAATTCAGAGTGATGAGAAAGAAAACAAAACAAATGCTAGGGAGGAAAGGAAAAGAATCAGATCTCTCTAGTTAATGTGATCCTGCAAATATTAAAAATTGCCCTAGTGTGTTAGAGCAGTATTCAGTCATGGTGTGAACCTAACTCCAGTAAAACAGCAAAAAGCAAGCATTTATATTAAACGTGGTTATAATGATCTTGCTCATGGCAGATGAGTGGGGAGCGTGGCTGTTTTGTGCCGGTGTATAATGCAAAGGTAGACTTACTGCTGTAATGGTGAGTAGGACGTAGATAGGCCCTGACTATCATGTGCCGTAGCATGAGGAGTTCTGTTATGCTACGTCCCATGGAACCCTTTCCCACCTCAGGAGACATCACTCCAATGGTGTCCTAGCTTGCTCCTTCTGTCCTACAAATTCAGTGATGTCAGCACCAAACACACACAAATACAGAACCTGTGGCCAGCTTTCAAAAGGAAGCCAATCCCTCAACACGTTGATCTCAGTAAAAAGAAAATCTTCAGTCTCTTGAGGTCTGGGTGTTGATGTGACTGGCTTGGGTAAGGAAGGGGAGATTGCTGTGTGGGTGTTGAAAGCTAGTCCCTCCTCTAGGTGGTATATCACAAAATCATAATGGGATCTGGCCTCTGCTTTTCTTCTCAGCAGGGTTCTTTGCCTGGCACTCTCCAAGCCCATTCTGCTTTCAGGAGAGTTCCTTGCTTAAAACAAGATGCTGTCACCGAGCTCAGTCTAAGAGAAATGTGACCTTCTTCTCTCCTTGGTCATTTTCAAGGACCCCTAGGAATTGCTGATTACTCTGCTTCAATCTCTTCTCCATTATGGGATGTTATTTTTGCAGACACGTAGGCTAGCTGAAGCTCTGTGCTAGCCATGCCTGATCATTTCAGCCATCTCATTCTCTTGACCCAATTCCAGGTTGTTCTGTCTGCTCCACTCTGCAGCCTTCTAAGTCCATGAAAGCGTGTGGGGAGAGCATAGATTCTGGTCCCTACCTACGGACGCAGTCCTGCACAGTGCTTGAGTATGCGTAACCCACACAGCCTGCCTTCTGGGGCAGGCAGGGCCCACTCCCTAATGAAAGTATTGGAGATGGGCTAAAGAGGCAGTGTTGGGATCTGGACCCAGATCGGGTTTGGGCTGTGCTGTGAGTTTTGAGGCTAACTCAAGACTGGGGCTTGGGTTCAGATTCAATGGTGCCAAAATCTCATGAGCTGTTTATGTGCCATTGTGACCCTGAATGGCAGAACCCTTGCAAGAGCAGCCATTCTCATGAGCTTTCCACTGCATCTAAACTGGAACCAGAAAACAAGGCCCCTTCTGGGTTTGGGTCTGGCCTGGAACCAAAAGCACAGTACTGGGTTCAGCTATGATGGTTCAGATCTAACATTCCCTGGCTTCCAAAGGGGGCCCAATTCCAGGTCCTGACATAAGCCTATATTTCCTTGCTGTTGCTTGGAAGTGTTGGGCATGGAAGGCAGCATCCAATGGCCACCCCCACTGGTCTCTCTGACACACTGTGCAGCGAAATGGGGGGAGGGATAACTCAGTGGTTTGACCATTGGCCAGCTAAACCCAGGGTTGTGAGTTCAATCCTTGAGGGGGGTATTTAGGGATCTGGGGCAAAAATTGGGGATTGGCTCTGCTTTGAGCAGGGGGTTGGACTAGATGACCTCCTGCGATCCCTTCCAACCCTGATATTCTATGAAATGTCCATTGTGCAGCACAGCCAGACATTCCTGCTTTTCAAGCGTTCCTTGTTCTCCAGGGGGAAGGAGAAGAGGGGATCATCTCTATTTATTGCCTTTCCATTCTCTCCATCACTTTTCCAGTTTCAGACTAAAGATTCTCGCAGTTCCACCTCTTTCATTGGGTCAGAACTTGTAACACAGGCAGCAGAGCTAGCTGAATGTATTGTGTTCTCAAGAGCCAATATGCATTTGTGCTGAGGGAGTAGCCAATTTCAATCACAATAATTATTAATAGTTGCACTTATGTGGCATCCAAACATTTCAAAGCCTTTTACAAACATTAATTAATCCTCACAGCCCCCTGATAGTACAACATTATCCCTATTTGACACATACGGGAACTGAAGCAGAGAAATGGAATGATTTGCTCAAGTGAGTAAGTTAGCAGCAGAAATAGGAATAGACCCCAGGAGTCCCAGCTGCCTGGGTCCTGCACTAACCAATGTCACATCCTCCTCCTTTGGGTGAAGAAATCATTTTTCTTTCTAAATTATTTCAGATGCCTCTACACTTCTGCCTGAACCCCAACAATACTGAAACCTTAGCAATATTTAAGTTCAGTGTGTAGGTCACTGCTTTCAGCTGCATGCCAAGGCTGGATATAAACTGAAACTATTTTATATGCAAATACAGTTTTGTAATCAGCAACAACTTACTTTATTTGCAAGACTGGCATCAATATCTGTTAAAAAAAAACTAAGGTGCATTTTTATAGTGCTGTAGATAGATAGGTAGATAGATAGATAATTTGTCCACTGTGCTATGTTGACCTTCTTTTGTCCTGCCTGGGTAGCGATTCTTAGGATATTCATAAAGGACACATTTGTGATGGTCTTAAGTGGCAGCTAGATGACATGTTTCAGCAATATTTATGTGTAGGGGAAAGAAGTGTTACTCTGGCAGTGAAGGAACTATTTTTAAATAGAGAGAGTCAGCAGGACTAATTTTGCAAGTCTGCACATCTCTGCTGTACTACAAGGTGTTATAAAAATTGCAACTAGCCCACTTCTTATTCCCACACCCCGGATTGAATCAGCCTTTTAACTGGGAGGTAACATATCAACAGACACATCTGGGAGGAAGTACCCCATACCTCCGAGGCTGCAATGACATTAACCTGTCATGCTGCAGTGTTTCCAAATAGCCCTGTGCCCCCCCATGAGTCTGCTAACCGAATGCAATATTTCCCCCACACCAGTGGGTGCCCAGACCCACCTTGGTGCTTCCCCTAATATTCTGACATCTTCTGGAGCTTCACTCTACTCACCACTGGGACATCTATCCTCAGGTACCAACAGCTGTGCAGAGTCATCTCTCTACTGATGTGCTTCCCACCATGAAAACTCTCCTACCCAACCTTCTCTCTCACCAGTGGGTGTGCCAGCCAGCTGCAGCACTCCCTTATGGGCATGCTAACTGGCAGCAGAACCCCATGCACCAGCAATCTCTGGCTTCCAATTGCAACCTTCCCATGAAAAGCAGCCTTCTGGGCAGGCAATGAATCCACTGCCAACCATAATCACGGTTGTTGTTAGGTGTTATCATAGAATCATAGAACTGGAAGGAACCTCGAGGGGTCATCTAATGCAGTCCCCTGCACTCAAGGCAGGACTAAGTATTATCTAGACCATCCCTAACAGGTGTTTGTCCAGCCTGCTCTTAAAAATCCCCAATGATGAAGATTCCACAATCTCCCTAGGCAATTTATTCCAGCGCTTAACCACCCTGACAGTTCAGAAGTTTTTCCTAATGCCCAACCTAAACCTCCATTGTTGCAATTTAAGCCCATGGCTTCTTGTCCTATTCTCAGAGGCTAAGAGACCTCATCCTGGCCCCAGACCCCATTGCTGTGCAAATGCAGATCAAAAAATGGTCTCTGCACCATGGATCTTATATTCCAAGTATAAGACAGGAGACAACAAATGGAAACAGACAGGTGGGGGAGCACAAGGAAACAGACAGTCTGGGTCAGCATGACACTCAGTGGGTTCAGTCCACCACCAGCCTAACCGTTGTCAAGGTTGTTGTAGGCCTCATGGCAAAGGAGAGTTTTAAGCTGAGGGGGGAAACATGGCAGCAGCATTTCTGGTGCTACCAGGCCATTCCCTGAATGACTGCAGCCTTAGCTCCAGGCCTGGGTATGACGCTAGAGCATGGAGCAGCCCTCATTGTCAATACCCACTGCCGTGGGTGGAGATTAGTTCGGCACCTTCCAAACACCAGCCTCTTTTCTGTCTGTGTGGTGTGACAGGGGCTGAGGTGATATGGTTGGGGCTGCCAGAGTTTTGGACAGAGCGATACACCCATGTCAATAGCCACTGAGTACTGCTCAGTGCTGTGACAGCCTGTGAGATCTTGTTTGTGAGCCATTAGCCAGATGGCCCTGCCAAAGGCTTCAAAGGAGCAATATCTGCCCCACTCTGACCTATAACGGACACCTCCCACAGTCCAGTAGGCACCAGAGCAGGTTTTCAGCAGGGCTGAATCTGGGAACCTCTGGATTTAAAAGTATGAAGCTCTAATGCCTGTGAAAGCACTGTTAACTAAAAGGCTGTAGAAGACTCATAAATCTTTATATATGGTCCAAACACTAGAGGAGGACAGAGCCACAGCATGAGCATGGGAACAAGTGCATTTGAACTGGGCATACTGACTATTGATACGACTGTGCAGACTCATAGGCGCGGGCTCTGCACTTTTCTGGGAGGGTTATGTCGGAAAACAGGCCACGCATGTGCCTTCTTGTGTCTCCTGCTGCTCAGTGAGGAGGGGCTGATATTTTGGGACTGTGGCTGTGTTCGGATCATATGATTGCTTTCCTCTGTTGCATAGGCCATACACACAAAGAATTTTGACATATGCCACCTCTCCTGGCTTCTATTTTAAGGCAAGGGCATGAGTTTTCAAAGTTTTCAGCCCACTCCAGCCATCACCTCCGAGAAGTGGCACCCACGCAGCTGCGGCCCAGGAGTCTGAATTGTGGTGGAATACGTGTTTGTCTCATTCCTCTGCACTTCGAAACTGTCATTAGACAGTAATATCGTTAACTGTGACAATTTCAGACGCTCACGAGTTTCTGTTTCTTCTCCTTTGTAGATAATACTGAGCCTGAGTTAACCAAGGGCAAGCCCTGTGAGAACAAGCTGAACATGAATGAAAACATTCTCTGTCCATTATCTTCTGCGGAGTATAATGAGCCACATACCTCGGGCTTGCAGCTAGCCATGTTAGCCTGTAATAATGGGAGTGAACAGCCAGCAGAGCCCACAAATCCCTCCAATGAAAAACCCAGCCGCCTCCTGAATAGCGCTGAGCCACCCAGAGCAAAGGAACGCAGAAGCCCAGCCAATGACAGCACCGGCCATGGGGCCGAACATCTGGAAACGGCACCAGACCTATGGAAGCAGAGTGAAATGCAGAGAAACAGGCTACAGCAAGTGCAATCAGAGAGTGACAGCAGCAGTGCCAACGGTTTGGTGCTGACGAATGGCTTGCATACAGAGTTTGAGCTGAGGAAGGAGAGGGACTTTGATGGCAAGGAGGTAACGGAGAAGCAGGGTAGCGCGGCATCAAGGAGAAGTGATGCTGACTTGGAGAAGAGGGACTTGCCAAGCAAGGAACTGTATAGCGAGCTGCTCAGTGGTGTGCATTTGGAGACCTTCCTGGACTCTCCAGAGGTGCTAAGTGCAGAGGATGCAGAGGAACAGCTAAGGTAACTGGGATTCTCTCTCAATTTGTTTCACTGCTCGGATTAATGTGCATCATATTTCCCCCCCCTTAAATCTAGGTGGGGAACCAACAGGTCTAAAGCTCTCTCATGGTTGGCTTTGGCCCCAAATGTAACCCTCCTTTACTGTCTTCTGTTGTATCATATCCTTTTGTAAAGCTCTTGTCAAACAGTCACCATTATAGGGTCAACAATTGCCAATAACAAGAGTGTTCCTGGGAGCTGCTCTGCGCTCCATCTCCCAGCGGCTCGGGGCTTGATCCAAAACTCCTTGAAGTCAATGGAAAGATTCCCATAGATTTCAATGGGCTTTGAATCAGGCTCTTTGAAGCTGAGCACATCTAGCACCTTGCAGGATCGAGCCCGTATTTCCTGTTCTAAGGGGAAAACCACTGTGCAGTAAGTGCTGGCAAGGGCTGACTTGATCAGCAAACACTTACATTCTGTAGATGGGGTGTTTCGTAAATAAGAGTTTTGCTTCTTCTCTTCCTGGAACAAGTTAACGCCAGGGCTCAGCATTCCTGTGCAACCCTACAATAACAAACCAGCACTTACGTGCGACCCTGCAAGAGCAAACTAGCATGCACTTTTGTTACTGGGAAAAAAACAGTTGGCTAAGGAAGCAGCTTTCCCTTTTCACTTTCCCAAAGGTGATTGCTGTACATAGCAGTATGATGCAGATTATTTTCTGAGTGACACAAATTCCTTCCCATCGTTCCTAAGTCTCCAGAAAAGGTTTTTAGCACTACTGTGCCTTTCCCTTGTTGGAGAGAGGGAGTTTACAGATCTCCCTAAACACACACCACAAAACAAACAGTGATAGCTGCTACAGGGTCAGAGGGGAATAACCTGGGAGAGAGCAGAAATGAGAGAGCAGGAGATCCGTGGCCACAGTGGGTTATAAAACTCTAGGAATACACATGCCTGCTTTCCACCCCCAGTGGCCCAATGTATGTAACGATTGCTAGTACTGTGGTTTTCTGTCCCGTTCTCCCCCACCCCCATGCTTGGAAGTTTACGAGTATGTTGCTGCCTCAGTCCCAATGGACTTGGGGTCAGATTTTTAAAACTGTTTAAGCACCTAATTCCCAATGAAGTCAATGGGAGTTAGGTGCCTAAATACCTTTAAAAATCTGGCCCTTGACCAGGGTACTGGAACGAGGGGTGCTGGGGATGTGGCGCAGCCCCTGCCCTGGACCCTTAGTTCATGCCACAGCGGCTCTTGCTTTATGTAAGCGGGGGAATAGTCCCGCTATTGTGGGGAACTTTCCTGGCTTCTGCACTACCCCAGTGAACTGGGCTAGCGAAAGGATCTGAGTCCTCGCTCCCACTTCCTTTACCCAGTGGCCTCCCTGCCCTTGAGGACTCCCCTTCCACTCCTCTGTCTGGCAGAGTCCTCGTAACCCCAACAAGGCTGGGCCCAGGATTCCTGGGGGGGCTCGACCCCCAACCTTGCTGTGGTCACCTAGGACAGGGACTAGGGTGTCCCCACTCCAGGGTACTCTCTCTGCACTGGGCACTTCTCTGACCCACTGACCACTATATACAATTTAAAGCAAATGCAAGTTATTTAATCAACAATGAATTTTAAAAAGAATAAGGAAAAATGGGAAAGGTTAAAGGAAACACATCAACCCGCTCTGGGGCAGGGAACATCACAAACAGTGTCTCTGGAATGTCAGGGCAGTTCACAGTCTGTTCCTTGTAAGTCCCAGGCCTCCTTCTCAGGCCCTGGCTGTGCTGCAGGGATGCTGTGGGTTGGACACTTGCTCTGGTGGTGGCCACACGCTCTCGGGCTCTAAGTGGTAGGACCTTTCTTCCTAGTGTCGCCCCCGCCCTGTCGGGGTTATGATCCAAGCCTGGCCTGCAGAGCCTCGTGGCTGAGGCATCTCCCTGTGCTGGGCCCGCTGCCCAGGTTCCCCCTCGCTCTCCCCAGCTGCTCACTGCACCCAGCTCCAGACTGCTCCAGCCCCCGCCAGCTCCACCAATCTGTCTCAGCCCTGCTGCTGATGCTCTGCCTCCAGCTCCCCGGGCTGCTTCTTTGGCCCCTCTGCCTCTGGTTGCTGCAGCTCTGCTCCCAGGACAGGTCTGCTCTGCAGGCTGCTTCTGTGACTCTGCTCCCAGCACTGACCTGCTTCCTGGGCTGCTTTTCTGGCCCCTCTGGCTCTGGTTACTGCAGCTCTGCTCCCAGGACAGGGTCTGCTCTCTCTGGGCTGTGCCTCTGGCTTTGGGGCTGCAGCTCTGCTCCCAGGACAGGGTCTGCTCTCTCTAGGCTGCTTTTCTGGTCCCTCTGGATCTGGCACACCTCTGCTCCCCAGCTTAGCTTGGGCCCCTGCTTTCTCCTTAGCTCAGCCCCACTCTGTCCGACCCAGGCAATTCCAGCTCACACGGAGGATGGGACCTCCCTGACCTCCTGACTCCCTGATTAGCCTGGTCACCCTTTTTCTTTCAGGCTGACCTGGAGCATTGGCCTCTCCCCATTGTTCTTGGGGGCTGTCAGTCTCAGGGTCCCGATTCCCCATCGACCCTTCCCCCTTTTTAGTTCTGGGAGCTAGCAACTAAAACACCCCCACTGAATGTTAGTAAGGGGGCAACAGTCCCCTTACATTTAGATCAATAGATGTTAGGTTCATTCCCTTCAGATGCCCTGGTGGAGGGTGTCTTTCCCAGGATTAACTGGGTTTGGTGCATGGGGAGAGGGAAGGTTGGAATGGTCCTTTTCCTTATAAATCCCGTGGCTAACAACAGTTCCTCTCTGTGCAGCTCTCCTGCTCTCTGTGAAGGAAGCAGTCACTTCTGGTGCACTGGGCTGTCTCTGCCCCAGGACCCGGTGGAGCCCCCAGTGGGGGGTTAGAGATCTGCAGGGGGCAGGTTCTGGGGCAATACAGAGGGCTCGTTGTGGGACTGGAGATGTAGGCATTGCCCACCCCCAACCCTCATGGAACAACCCATGGAGACTTAATGCAACCTGTAGCTTGATTTGCTATTTCACAGCCCCCTCTGTGCTGGGAATCCTGACTTGATGGGGAAGGGGGGATCTCTGACCATGCAGCTGCTCTTGGAGGGAACCAAGGAGAGCCACATTGGGGTCCAGAAGTGATAAGGATGCACTGGACTTCTGTGCAGATGGCACTGACCTCCTCAGGATCCCCCAGAATCTATCGGGTTTGCTAATGGAATTGCTATCCCTTGCACTCCCCTGTGGAATGAGTTGGGGAGCGCTCTGTGAGGGGATCTGCATGGGATTTTCTGCTTCCCTCCCCTAGGTATTTCCATGGGCACTAGTGGTCCAAGCCCTAGTCAGCACAGAGTCATTGTCCTAGGTGATTCTTGCACTGCAGTACATGTGGGATCACAGCAGCAGAAAGAGGCCAGGAAGCTGCAGGGAGTCCAAAGAAGAGCGATGAGAGTGGTTAGTGAGGTGCCCGGTCTGATGTGAGAGGAGAGAGTACAAAGATCTGGAATGATTCTGGATGGGAATGTGAGAACAGTTTCACAAGGGTGCAGGTACCAAGCAGGGAGGCAGATTATTCAGGATGGTACCAGCGCATAGCGAGGTCGCAGTGACGCAATGAATGTGCGTGAATATTAGGGAAAGTTTCCTAATGTGAGATCAATGATGTTGTGGAGCAGTCTGTTTAGAAAAGAGGTGGCAAACCCATTGCTTGACTAATACAGAACCAGCATGGACAAAAGCAAACAGTGTTTGGCTGATGTTTGTTTGAGTCCCAAGTAGCTACTCATTTCCCTAAGGACAGGTTTCAGAGGAACAGCCGTGTTAGTCTGTATTCGCAAAAAGAAAAGGAGTACTTGTGGCACCTTAGAGACTAACCAATTTATTTGAGCATGAGCTTAAATTGGTTAGTCTCTAAGGTGCCACAAGTACTCCTTTTCATTTCCCTAAGAATGAGTTTTAATTCATGTCAATGTCTTAGGGCATGGTTGTCCTCCTTGATGCCTTCTGCTAGATGGTAGTTTAGCAACAGGGAGGGCGGGCTGGACACTTTGCAAGCAGGAGAGCAGCAAATTGTGCTGCCCACCAGGACTGACAACCTGAGACTGGGAGAAACTTCACATCAGTTCATTGAAACGGCTCTTCCGAGGTCTGGCCAAGAGCTAACGGCGATAGTGGTGACCCTCTGAGAGATTCTGCCCTGACCAAAGCCAGAAGCAGCAGCAACATGGCTTCAGTGAACATACAGGGCATCAATTAACAATCTAATAAAAGAACTGGTGTAAAGTGACACATGCTAATATCAATGGAATCATGAATATATTCCGCAAGCTTCGAACTAATGGAGGAATAAAGCCTTCTTTCAGATCACTTGCAGAACAGCTCTCCCCTGAAGAATTAGGGCACAAGAAAGATGCAACGGTGATCCACCATTGGAGGAGGAATGATTTGAAGGTGCTGGGCACGCTAAAGGTGTGAAGTTGTGAAATGGCAGACCAATGGTTTGGAGAGAATACAGTCGGACTGTGTTCTGTATTCCAAGAACTTGTTTTGCTATTTATGTATTTACTTAGGTTTATTTATAATGTGTCTTAAATTCTAAGCCCAGTACATAGGGAAAAACACACCCCAGAAACAACTGCAAAATGCTTACATAACGTCAGCACTATAACTGACAGCCCTGCTAGGAAACATCTCTTCGTTACCAGGAGAGAGCCAGATTCTTTCCCTCTGTTCCAGCTGCCTTGTTCTGCTCAACAGTCTGTTGTGTCACAGTTATGAAAGCATCATAGTTATGAGAGGTTGAAGCAGCTGGGGTGGGTGCAAATTCATCATTGGTGTAAGCAGGTGCAACACCACTAAAATCCACAGAGATCCATCTGCTTGCACTAGGGCTGAATTTGGCCTGATATGTCATAACCAATGTGTCTTCATTCATTAACTGCAAAGCTGGCCATCCCCCACTATATTCTGGCCTTGAATAGCCTGTGTGACTCATTAGGTGAGACCAAATTCAGAGCTGGGGGGAGTA